GAGATTTCTCCTTGTTTCATCAGCTGCTCCAGGGAAGCAAAGGTTTCTGACCCGGAATTAAGGGCCAGTGCTGAGCACAGGGTGGGTATAGGTGGATGTCCTGAGAGCGAAGGAGAACAGGGGAGTGCAGACCGGGTGAGCCTTGGTACCGCAGTCCTGCAGGCCCCAGGGGCTCCATCCCGGGCTGATACCCATCCCCCGCCCCCCTGCCCCCCCCAACGACTGCAGAGCAGGGACGAGAGTGGGAAGCCCCACATGCTTGGAGGCGCTGGTCCCACCACCTACTCGTGTGTGGCCCACTCCGCTCCTTGCATCTTTCTGTGCTTCCTGTCTGCAGGTCCTGGGCTCTCCCATTTGCTGCCCACCCCCCATGTGTCCCGCCCCTTTGCCACGGCCGCTGAGGGCTGGTCTGCACCCCGGTGGCTCCCTCCCTGGCCTTCAGCTGTCAGGCTCTGACCGTGGTCCTCGCCCTTTCCCCTTTGGCAGGAGGGAGCGGAGGCGCCGGCACCATATGTCGGTGTGGGAGCAGCGCACCAGCCAGCTGAGAAGGCACATGCAGATGTCCAGCCAGGAGGCCCTCAATAAGGAGGAGGCCCCACCAATGAACCCCCTCAACCCCCTCAACCCGCTGAGTCCCCTCAACCCACTCAATGCCCACCCCAGCCTCTACCGGAGACCCAGGCCCGTCGAGGGCCTGGGCCTGGGCCTGGAGAAGTGTGAGGAGGAGCGCATCAGCCGTGGGGGGTCCCTCAAGGGGGATGGAGGGGACCTGTCAAGCGCCCTGGATGACCAGAGGAGCCCCTTGTCCCTGGGCAAGCGGGAGCCACCGTGGCTGGCCAGGCCCTGTCATGGCAACTGTGACCCGACCCAGCCGGAGGCTGGGGGAGGGGAGACCGTGGTGACCTTCGAGGACCGCGCCAGACACAGGCAGAGCCAGCGGCGCAGCCGGCACCGTCGGGTCAGAACAGAAGGCAGGGAGCTCTCCTCCACCTCCCGGAGCAGGTCTGCCAGCCAGGAGCGGAGTCTGGACGAGGCGGTGCCCCCCAAGGAGGAGGACTGCGAGCCCAGGGGCAGCCACGCGGCCAAGGAACCCACAATCCAGGAAGAAGAGCGAGGCCAAAACTTAAGGAGGTGTGTTAGTCACGGGTGTGCCCCAGAGACATCTAGCCTTGCGGGGGTGAAGGACTCTTCAGTACGATCCTATCTGACCCTCCGTTTTCCCTTTTACAAAATGGAGAAGATGCTAACACACCCTTCATAAGATATGCGTGACTATGATAGGTGATGGATTCTGTCCCCTTGAAAACCGGGGTCTGTTCTTCTAGGGCATCTCCTGTTGGGAGTGGTTCCCGGGCCGATTGACGGGAACAAGGCCTGGACGCTGGCTGGGGGTCTTAGCTGCCCCCTGCCTGGGTGGGTCAGGGTGGGAGGCAGCGGATGCCACGCTCTCCAGCAAGGCTCCTAGGGCTTCCCTCACCTTTCCCTCACCTTTCCCTCTTGCCTGGCTCACCTGCCACTTGAGAACAGCTTCTTCCGATCTGAGCACCAGCCGTCTCCTCCTTTGTCCCTCCAGGACCAACAGTCTGATGGTGCCCAGAGGCTCCGGGCTGGCAGGAGCCCTCGACGAGGACAACATGCCCCTGGTCCTGCCCCAGCTGGAGCTGGAAGTGGGGAAGGACATGGTGCTGACTGAGCAGGAGGCGGAGGGCAGCAGCGAGCGGGCCCTGCTGGGCGACGTGCAGTTGGACATGGGCAGGGCCATCAGCCAGAGTGAGCCTGACCTCTCCTGTGCCACCAACATAGACAAGGCCACCACCGCGAGCACCAGCGTCACTGTCGCCATCCCCGACGTGGGCCCCTTGGTGGACTCAACTGTGGTTCACAGTGAGAACGCAGTCCCTGTCCCCCTTCACCCTCACCACCCATCCCCCCCGGGGCTGGGGACCATTGTGGCTCTGGAGTCACCCAGTAAAGCTACGTGAAAAACCCCACCAGCAGGACGAAGTCATTCTTCAGCAAGTAAATGATAGCAGTAGTTTTAGCTCAGTTTGCAGGAAAAATAAGTTAGAATGTTCTCCGTCTTAAGTTTTGCCCATAAAATTTCCTTCAGCCTTGGCCCCTGTGACCACCATAGAGACTTCAAGGAGATCACACGTGGTTTGGTACCCAGATGTATATTCAGCTATTTGACTTATCGTGTGAATATTTGGTGGTGTTCCCCTTGGACAGGTTAGGGAACCTCTGATGGAGCAGGAGATGGCCCAGATCTGTTCAGTGTGGCTTGAACAAACCTCGGTTTCTCCCAAGGCTTCAGGTTGTCAACCCTAAAGTGAAAGCATTGAATTGGGTGATCTCTGAGGTCTTTCTCAGCACTAACATTTTATGAATCTGTTACTCTTATCTACTCTTTCCTCCGAGGAGATTTAACTTAGTTTTTATCCTAGATCCCTCAGGCAATGGATGTTAATCTCCAGACCTCAAAAGGAAGAGACAAAAATTACTGGGCCTACCCCCTCATCCCCACCCTTAACCCCACCCAGCCTCACTCCTATCCTTGTTTCAACCCCATCCCTTTTCCTCCCCTAACCCCATCCCTCTCCCAGCCCTAACCCTAAACTCCACCCCTGTCTCTGCCCTAACCCCATCCCCGCCCTAAGCCCACCCCTATCCCTGTACTAACCCCACCCCATCCCTGCTTCCCCCCAACCCCATCCCCTACCTAACCCTCACCACACCCCCATTCCTGCATTAATCCCACCTGCTGCCCATGGCCACTGAATTGCGACCACAGATTCCACCCTTGCTTTTTTTGCCTCTCTTTTTCCTTATTTTTCTCTTTTCATAGAACAGTCTTCTCGTCTCCCTGTTTTTCTTTCTTCCACTGCTCCATCTCCATTCCATCACCTTCTCAGCACTCAAAATGCCCATACTACTTTAGAAAATGAAATCCCCCATGTCTAGTGCTGCTGGGGTTGACTTGGGCATGTCTCAGGATTTCAGACAACCTCTTTTGGTGTCTGTTTCATTTTATGCTCTAATAAGTGCTTTGGACCCTCTCTGATGAGAAATGTTAAGAAGTTTGACCTTTCTCTGTTCCTGTTCTGGGGCTGGTCGCTGGCCTTCGTCATAGGTAAGAGCATATTATCAGAGGGCTTTTGGACAAGTTACCTCTTGGAAGGACCCAGAAGGGGCCAGAAGCTCAAAGGTTTGCTGCTTGCACAAGGCTCCAGGATAGAGTCATTAGCTGAGGGAGGGGCTGACTGCATCCCTTGCCCCGCTCAGAGAGCTTCCACCTCTCTGCCACTTACCCCACCCTGTGACTTGCATGTGGAAACTGAGGGTGGCCCAAGAGCTTCACTCAGTCTCTGGCTCCTTCATTCTCCCAGTCCTGGAATGCAGTCATGGTCTCATAGAGGTATGAATATTGCATTGCCATTTCAACATTAATCATGACTGGAACAAGCAGAGCCAGCAAGTCAGCCACAAACAGAGTAACGGCTTCTTAAAATCTTCCACTGCAGTGGGAGATCATCGAAACGCTACAGGATTTGGAATTGGGAACTAGCTGTATGAACCTAGGATAGGTACTTGAATTCCCTGAACCTAAGTTTTCCCATCTGTATAATGGGCAGAGTACATGCCGCTCAGGGTGTAGTGATGTGAAAATTCAAGAAGTGAACGTAGGCAAAGAATCTAGATTTTAGATATGTCAGCCTTGTAAACTTTACAGCAGAAACAAGCCTTCTGTGACCCTGGGAAACGTGATTATTATTTATATGGCAAAAAAAGTCATACCATGTAAAATTAGGATGCTGGCCAGGAGAGAACGAGAGCAAGGGCTTGACTCAGTGTAATAGTGAACACCCCCAGTGTTTGCAGGGTACCTGGCTAGACACATTCCTCTAACCCCTTCCCCTCCTCTTGATCCTACCCCCATGGAAAACAAAGGGCACCGTTCTCACAGGCGGCAAGATTTCTGATGATTTCAACACGTTCCTTTGGCAGTTAGCAACAAGGCTGATGGAGAAGCCAGTCCCCTGAAGGAGGCAGAGATCAAAGAGGAGGAGGAGGAGGTGGAGAAGAAGCAGAAGAAGGAGAAGCGTGAGACGGGCAAAGCCATGGTGCCCCACAGCTCCATGTTCATCTTCAGCACCACCAACCCGTAAGGCGCCCTCCCGTCACTCCCCCTTCAGTGCCAGGGTTAGAGCCAGGGCAGGGTGATGAGAAGAAGGAGAGATGAGGGACCACTTAGTGGACTGTGGCCAGACATCTGAAACATGCGGAGTGCTCACTGGTGGAAGTGGTTCATGGGATTGAACAGCCTCTGAGCTCTGTGCTGAGCCTACAAAGTAATTTAAGACAGGGAAGCATGAGAGATGTCATGAGAAAAGGACCCTATAACTCTTATTCCTCTTATTTGGTCAGTAGGTTGTGTAGGGGTGGGGTGGGAGGAAGGAAATCTACTTGGGATGTGTCATCAAATACTCCAGTGGTGGACAGAACTGAGAATATGGAACCTAGAATAAATAGATCATCCACTGGAGTTTAAGAGTATTGGTCCCACTGTCCCATATGTGAATTTTGAAATGGGCATGTTCCTCAAAGCAGAGGTAGGGGCATGAGATGGAGGTGGCAGAGAAGATTCTAGAAGGTTACACTGAGCTGCCTTTTGCCCTGGAAATGAGCAAGATGTACACATAGACCTGCTTCTGAGGCTAGGAAGACAAAAAGGTTTTCAGTGACCCCATGGGCAGTATTTCAGGCAAGGCTCTGGGAAGGAAGGAACTTGGGCTAAGGTATGTCAGGTCACACAAGTCCAGAATACAGTCTATAGAACATAATTACTTTAATCAGAATACGTGGGGCTCATGAAAACCTGTTGCTGCTCTTGTTAGAAATCTTAGAATCAAGGTCTATTGTTACGTTTCTTGGTTCTTCTGATTTCCTTGCTGTGTCCCAGTTTCTGTACGGTGGAGGAGTAGACACTGAGATACGGTGGAGGGTACCATGTGGCCATGCGGAGTGCATGTCGTCTGATGCTCGCTGCTCCCTTGGCTCAGACGTGCCTACAGATAATGTATCTTGGCTTGCGCACTGCAGCCTCTAACCAATCTGATTACCTTCTCCCACTGGAGCTTTAAATCACGGGTGGTGCCTGCGAAATTAAATTGCTTCCCCACGGCTTCCTCTGGCCAGGGCCCGGCTGTATGGAGGAGGCTGATGTGCACGAGGGTGGGGAGTAAGGGATGGGGAGGGGAGGGAAGCCGACGCAGCTCTGTTGGCTCCTCCACCCCACAGGATCCGCAGGGCCTGCCACTACATCGTGAGCCTGCGCTACTTTGAGATGTGCATTCTCCTGGTGATCGCGGCCAGCAGCATCGCCCTGGCAGCCGAGGACCCCGTCCTGACCAACTCGGAGCGCAACAAAGTGGGTGCACGGGAGCCCTTTGCCCTGGGACCTGCGCTGTCTCAGCCCCTCCCCATCCCAGTATTAAAGGTGAACTAAGGAAGGTTCCTGGGAAATGAGGAAGGCTTAAGAAATGGCCCATTCCTGTTCCTCAGGGCAAAGTATGGACCATTTCCAGATCAGCCTCTTCTCCCCAGTCCCCACCGTGTGCCCTGAGGCTTCAGCAGTGGGCCTTACATCCAGAGCCAGCCAGTCTTTGCAGCCGCCCAGGGGCTTCTATAGTGTGTGTGGGGGGGTCTGATGTCAGGTCATGAGGGATGTGCATGAATTTGGGGAGCTGAGGTTCTACCCCAGGGAGCTGAGACGTCTCCTGGAGGTCCCAAGGGTGTATGTTGGGAGGTATGACAGGGGTGGGTGGGGAGGATTGCAACCGACAAGGGTTCCAGGTCCTGAGGGAGAGATTTGTGGGGCAATTGGGACCCAAGAAGTTAAGTTCTGGCCAGGGGGCGGGAGGCGCCAAGGACTGACCACCGGGTCCTGCGGCTCTAGCAGAACGCATGTCTCCTCTCCTGCCTGTGTCCAGCTAGCACTTACAAGCCCACGCTTCTGTTCTGAGGTAGAAGTGAGCTGGGGTGCGGGGGCATCACTGCATGTGTGTGGGTAGGCAGGAGTATGTACGGCCTGGTGGCCACACATGGTCCTCTTGCCCTTCGCCGTACGTGTCTTACAGGTCCTGAGGTATTTTGACTATGTTTTCACTGGCGTGTTCACCTTTGAGATGGTCATAAAGGTAAAAGCCTCCAGAGAAAAGCTGGGCTCCAGGGTTTGGATGGGTCATGGGTCTGCTCTTCCCCAGTGCTGCCACCTACCAGCCAATGACAGACCGCAGGCCTCTGGCGACCCCTCTTCTGGCCTCAGAAGTCTGATGAAGTCTGTCATGACCAAACTTCATGGCACAGCGGGGTTGTGTGGATCTGTTTAGACTGGGGCAGACCTGTGGGAGTGGTCCAGGGAGGAGCCACTCCACTCTCAGGCAGGCAGGAGTGCAGACAGGCCTGGGCACTGTACTTGCCTCCCCAGTGTGCCCCCTGGTTTGAGCCAAGGCAAAGGGCCAAGGAGGGATGAGTCCTCCTGGACTCCATGTGGTCCCAGCTGCACTCGCTGCTTACCAGTCTGGTCCCCACCACCCTAACACCCCACATTTCTATCTTGTTCCTAGTCTCTCCCATCTGGGGTTTTCCCCATCTGTGCATATGTGGTGACGCCTGGTGTTCTGAGCCACTAAAGGAAGGAGGAATGTGAGAGCCAAGGAGTCTAGCTGAGCCCTGGTGGCTACGACACGGGGCCTCGGGCTTCACAGTTAGGTGGAGAGAGCCTGTGGGACCTGTCCTCTTGCTCCTCGGGTCCTCTGTAGGGTTGATTGTGGAGACAGTGGCAGTAGGGGCGTTGCCCTGAGGAGCCCTGAGCTCCGGGTGCGTTGCCGGCTCCTGTGGGCTCATCCACGGCTCTTCACGTCCTTCTCCTTCAGATGATAGACCAGGGCTTGATCCTGCAGGACGGGTCCTACTTCCGAGACCTGTGGAACATCCTGGACTTCGTGGTGGTGGTTGGCGCGTTGGTGGCCTTTGCTTTGGCGTAAGTGTAACTTTCTTCTTGCTCAGTTTCCCTTTGTCCCTTCTTCCTGAGAATCGGACTGATATGAGGCCTTCTCCTAGGCCAGCGTGAGAGGCAGTCCACTCAGAGTGGTGCCAAAGAAAGCTGCCCTGGAAATCTGGTTCCCACTTGCCCTCTGTGGAACTCTGGCGAGCCTTATAGCTTCAGCTCCCTGCCCCAAATGGCAGCACTGGTGAAGGAGGAGCTGGGGGAGTCCCAAGGAAGAAGTCAGGGGCCCTGGAGTTCCTTTCTTGGAGATGAGCAAGCATAGGCAGGTGCTCACCCATGTGGGCAGTTCCTCCATGGGCTCAGGGAGGGACCCAGGGACAGCTCATGTACCCTTTCCTTCCTTGGATATGTCAAACAAAGAGTCAGCTTGGAAGAAGAATGCAAAGTTGGGGATCACAGACTCTTGAGTATGAGGAGATTCTCTGCTCATGAGCAGGCGGAATCCAGAGCTATTTCACAGACATAAGAACCATGTTCATATGTTTAGCTCCAGAACGTAAGACTTTCACAACTTCCTTGATAACGCACTGAGGAAAACATTCAGGTGACTAACCATGCTCATTACATTTGGAGAATTTTTTTTTTTCCAAACATTGATTCAGCTGTAGCAGGTTTTCAACTACATGCTGACATTTCCTGTGGCATCCCGCCAAGGAAGGGGCTCTCTTGGCCCTCCAGGGTCTAGCTAGGAAACACACATGGTCAGGGCCTTTTCCCTAAGCTGGTGTGTAGAGTGCCCGGGAGATGAATGACAGCCTCTGGGCCCCATCGGCACCTTGTTGTACTGCCAGAGAGCTCCCGCCTTTTCCAGGTGGCCCAGAAGACTTCCCTCCAGCCTCTCCAAGTGCAAGACAGAGCCGGGTCTTTAAGCCAGTCTGGCTACACTGTGATGAGGCAGAAGGAAAGCATTTGGGAGCTGCTGTCAGTGATACCACTGCAAAAGGGAAGGGGCAGAGCACCTGCAGAGGTTGGGCCTTCCCAGGTCCAAGTGGTCAGAAGGGGCTAATCCATCCCCCTCTTCTCCCCAAACACCATCAGCTTCCATTTCTGTCCATCCTGGAGGAGAAAGAGGTGGGCTGACTTCGTGGTGGTCCACGGGGGATCCTCCAAAGGAGAGCCAGGTTGAATGTGGCTGGTAGCCCTGAGCTGGGCTGGCAGGACAATTTCAGTGTCCCCCATGTACACCAGTGTAATAACCGTGCCCACCCCCCCGCCCACCATTGGAGTCACATGGAATCACCTGTGTCTCTCACAACCAGAAAGCCTCCTATTAGATGTGACTGAGCTATTTCTAAGGAAATTGCCCCAAAGCGGGGTATTTTCCCCCATCATCTGGACCTTGTATAAATTCTCACCTCAAGGTAAAAATCAAGGCAACTCTGGCTCTACCAAGGGGACTCCCAGCTCCTCTTCCTCCTTCTTAGAAAAAATCATTAAAGTCTGTCTTTTTCCTAAGGAGGCCTACTTACTTTGTTAGGGATAAATAGCACCCTTGAGTTTTTAAAACGTCAAGTTCCCTTCTCACTTTATCAATTCATTTGCATATATTATTCACCATATTGTTCTTCTTTCTTATTTTGATCTCAGTAAAGTAGTTTGTCTTTCTATGAAGAAACGAAGCACAAGGAAGGAGAAGTATATGGGAAAGGATCCTCCCCATCTTTAGGAAGAACAGAGCTCCTTGGGGTGACAGGGCAGAGTGGGAGGAAGGTGTGGGCTATGGACTCAGGCAGGCCCTGCTTTGAATCCCAGCCCCTCTACTTACCTGCATCATGTCCTAAAGCAACAGAGCAAGATAGTAGTCCTCCTAACCTCAGTTTCTCATCCCTGAAATGCAGTCAAAATAATGCATGTGGCGTGCTTAGCACATAGGGCGTGGCACAATGTGAATGATCGTAAATTTTTTTAATTTAAGTTCAATTAGCCAACAGATAGTAAATCATTAGTTTTGATATAATGTTCAATAATTCATTAAATGTTAATTCCCTTCCTTAACCTTCCATTCTCTCATCACATCCTGAAGTCCAGATACTGGAGCCAAGTATGTGTTGATATATAGTGTGTGCAAATGGTTGAAGATGAACACAGGCTGGTTTCCACAACTTGGTTGTCTTAGACACACACACGCACACAGACACACACACTCACACACACGCACACACACGCACACAGACACACACACTCACACACACGCACACACACGCACACAGACACACACCCTGGTAACCAGGCAGGTGCGTAGGTGCCTGTGGGGAGGAGGTCTGTTGTAGAGGAAGCCTCTGCATGCCTGCCCCATGTCCACAGTCCGGTTGTCTCTCCTCAGATCCAGAGGGATGACAATGGGCTGGAGGGTTGTCATCTATCTTGTTCTTTTTTTGTGCCCTTTGAAAACATGGTGGTGGTGGCTTTGGTGCTGGTGGCAGGGGAAGCCTTAACAGCCCCGGAACCGAAGCCTCTCTGTGGGTCCTCAGACCAGGTATAGTGCAGGGAACCCCAAGAATCCCCTGGTTCTGGAGTCCACACTTATGTGATGGATTGAGAGTTATGATCCATCACTTGCTTTTAGTGATGTCACTTCCTGAACTTTTTCTTAATTTCCCTGGAAATGTAAATGGTACTTGCTCACCCTTCTCCATCCACTCTCTTCTGTTACCATCCTTCCAAGCTGGCCATGCACATTTCCTCTCCCCTTTCTCCTGCTCGTGGAACAGTCTCACACCCCTCTCCTCTGGCCTTCGTCACATTGCTGAGGTCCAGGTAACGCTTTCTCTTCCTCATGCACCACACTTCCTAACTCTTTTCTCTCCCCTTCCTCATTAAGGGCACCAGAGAATTCAGCTCTCCCATCACTTTGGTAGGGTTGGCCGGGGTCCCACCTACCAGCAGTGAGGGCCTGGCCCAGGGCACACTGCAGAAGGAAGCCCATGTCTCACTGCCAGGCCATACTAGGAGGCTCAAGCCAACAGGAAGCCAAATGTGGGGTTTTCTGCAGGCTTTTCAAGGGCCTCCCTCCTTGCAGTTACAGCTTTCATCATTATAACCCATATATTTGCCCCTGGGGAATGTCTACCACTCAGATGACCTTAACCCTGCCCTGTCTTGTTCTCCTCCTCCTGAGGAGAGGCTCCTGCAGAGGCTTCTGCTCAGGCTGTTACTCAGTCTGAGCAGAGCTGATGATTGCCGTGGTAACACCTTCATGTGATGCCTCAGAAGTCCGAGGCGACTTGGCATCCCTTTTACCGCGACCAGCCAGGATCTTCTCAGAACCCAACCCAAGTCCCAAGAGCACTACCCCTAACCAAGGGGAGGGATTGGCCGGTAGCTGAATTCTCAAAGAAAGCTGCGTGGTCCCCTGAGCCCTTCTGCAGAGGTCTGCACCTGCCGTCATGTATGTTTTCTATAAGCATATATGTCATTTATGTAGTGGCTGAAGAGAACTCTCTCTTCTCTATAGCTGCGTACCTCAAGTGAAGGGATTCTTTATAATGTAAACCTGACAAATTCGGTTTGGGAACTTTTATTACTGACTTTTGAGGAGGAAGGGAAGGGTATTTCTTTTCTAAGCGGGGGGCATACCGGGAGATGAGAAAACCAATGGAAAGATACCCCAATCGCACCTTTCCTGTTCCTCCTGGCACACTTTTACATTATAAAGCATTTATAAGAACACTCAGGTCTCCTGTCTCAGCCAGCCACCCGTGTAGGGAGATGGGCAGAGTTTTGGCAGAAGTTGGGTATGTTTCTCCCTCATTCCGCTGCCCTCACAACACCCCACTTTCTGGGCCATATGGAGACACGGAGTGTTTGCCAACTATAAATGTCCTGACTGTGCCTTTTCCTCCTTAAGGTTTCAAGAAAAGTCTGGTGAGTGACTGGATCTATGAAACCTTTCTCTTTTATCTTTTTCTATCTGAAAAAGAGGGATTCTACGGTTTGATCATTATTTTACACTGACGGGCCAGCAACTGCTTTTCCCAGTTTCCTCACACCCTGTTGCCATCGTGTCTGCCTCCCAGCCTCCTGGGTGGGACAACAAAGATGGTTCCAGCCTTGGCATTTCTGGGTTTCTGCACATCAGGCACGTTCCCTCACTTTGGGGCCCCCTGCCGGAATCAGCTGCCTCGTAGGGAAGTCATGTGACCCCATGGCAGGTTGAGTTCTGAGCCTTATGGGATCGTGCGCAGTGATGGTGATGCCATCTGGCCCTCAGGTTTCGTCTCTGAAATGTCTCATGAAGGGATTTGGACAGGCAGCTGGGCAGGGACAGCATCTCAGGAGGAAAGGTAGGAGAGCATGGGGACGTATGTGTGTATGAGATCCTGCACTCCAACCCAAGCCCCTCATCCTCTTCATTCCCATTGTTCTACAACATGTTACTTGACTAGCTCACATCAAGTCACCAGGTGAGCCATCCTGGGTTGGAGTCTAACTAGTAAACTCACAGCTTATAATGACTTGTCCACACAAACAATTTCAAAGAAAAATAACCAGCAGTTCTCCTCCTACCTCCTCCCCCAGCTGGGGCCTGGGCCTCAATCAGAGTCACACAGGCTCTCTGGCAGCTAAGGCCAAAGCTTTCCCTTGCTGTTTGCCATCTTAGCGGGGCATGAGGTAAGGTCAGGACTCCTGGCACGCGGGGGATCTGGATCACAGCCGCACTTGGCCTTTAATTATTCAGTGCTTAGCCAGAAAGGAAAAACATGAGTCAATCTGCCTCTTGATGCCAGAAGGAACCAGAATTCCCACATTAGCTTTTTTACCTTCTTCTCATTGAAGTGTGTTGCTTTTCTGACACTTGACACTCTGCCCTGGTCTTTAAGATGGATAACGTCTTTCGGAATGCATTTCCGAACCAGCCGCAGTGGCCGAGCTGGTTCTGAATTCATTCAGTGAAATACACAGATAGACACAATCTTAGATTTGGAAGGCCCCTGAGGAGCCACAGAATATGGTGCCCCGGTTCTGGTTTTGTA